TTTCACTAGACTTACATTTTTTGAGGCCACTGACACTTGTGACTGCAGCTCAGATATACTACAGTCTGATGAAGTTTGATAAACTTAATGCCTGATTTGCTGCTGTTTTTCTGTTTACTCCCAGGCAGGTGCAGGAGGACAGCGATCACAAACTGGTGCCCACTGTTGTGCTCCAAGTCTGCCAGCTATTTTGTTTCCCATTTGCTCTGGATATAGACCCAGAAACTTTAGAATATATCATAGCAAGTCTGAAGGACTCTGAAATCCCTGCCCATTTACTGCAGGTAAAATCTGTTTTAGCATTTAGGTACTCGCCAGGTGATACCAGGGAGAATGACCTTATATTTCCTTGTCTCTGCCCTAGCTGCTCTTTTTTCTGCATTTCATCCTGCTCACTGGTGGTTGCGCTTGTGAAGATGGCCTCAATATTCATAGAGAAGTTGTACTTTTGGGGTGGGATAGAAATTCAAACCTTTGGAAAACATAACGGGATGTTTTCATCCTACTTTTTTCATGCTCTTCTTCATAAGAATAAAGATCCACTCTTGGACTCCTTCCTCTGTTCTCCTTTCCTTAGGTTTCCATTCAACATCTTCCCATCTCAGAGACTGAGTTGCCTTTGAGCCTTTTATGCCGCTTGGTGTTGAGTGATGAGGGAATCATTGACCAAGTGGTGGAAATAGCCACATCAGAGCAAGCCACTGTCTTCTTGTCAGCCATTTTGCTTTCAGATCAGGTAGCTGTTACTGCAGACCTGCTCTCTCTGCTCACTCACATAGCCCGGGCCAGTCCAGCTCACCTGCCTTTCCTGCAGAGGCTCCTGATTGGCTCAGATTCAGCTTCCCAGCTGTTGAACCATGTGCTATGCCATCAAGAGTGCCTGGTCCGAGCCAGAGCCTGTAGCCTTGTAGGCAATCTACTACGTCATGGACAAGGATTTCCTCATGCACTATGGGACAAGGCAGGGCTGCAGGAACTTTTGGTGGACCGTCTTTCAGATGAAGATGAACACGTGCGTTGCTCAGCCAGTTTTGCTGTTGGTAATGCAGCCTACCAAGCTGGTCCTCTAATGCAGGGCTTCGACAAAGCCGTGCCTTGGGTTGTTCGGCTCCTTGGGGATTCTCAGGCAAGGACCCGTTGTAATGCAGCTTCAGCACTGGGCAACTTGGGACGACAGTCTGTGGGGATGGGAGATTTGCTGATCCAGAGCAGAGCACCTGAACTTCTGTTGGATGCAGCCTGCCATGACTCCCAACCTGCTGTGCAAGAGGCAGCACTCTTTGCTCTACGCTCCATTGGTCAGCAGTCCAAGATTCACCAGGTACAAAGTCTGCAACTATAAAGGGTGGTGATGGATTACTATGAACTCTGACCCAGTGGGGACAGAATAGGACACTGGCAGTGCGTCAGTGCAGGCACTCAATGCACCATGGAAGGTTTCTTCTTAAACTTTATTTGCTAGTCAAGAATTAAAATCATATTATGCATTAGATCTAAAAAGAGTATGCTGTTACACAGTTCTTTTTAGTGACAAAATGCCATTGCAAATACTGGCACTAGATGCTGCTGGGAAAGGAAAACTCCAGAAAGTTTATTCAATCTCATTTTGACTCCTGATTTCTATGAACCTAAGACTGGGTCTCTCTTACCCTCTCCCAATTAGCTTAATTATCAGTCATCAATAAGCCTCAATTTCTTTCTATAACAATTACATGTGATTGGGAGTGTAAAGTTAATTTTATGTTAGCTAAGGGTAGGACATTTAGCAATTTCTGTTCCATTATTTAGTCACAATACCAAATGTTTTAATGTACTTTGATGTTTTTGTTTTCTTAAAAGAATGCCTGTCTCTCACAAATGTTTTTTTAACAAGATACATTAGACCTTTATTTGAAAATATATGGCCTAGTTTTCCTACCTGCTAATTTGGTGAGAGATTAGAAGAGGCTATTTGGAAAGATGTAGTCTGTGGTGCTTTCTAAGCTTGGTTGTTTGCTTGCAAACGTTTCATTACCCAACTACATATCATCATCATTGCTAGTGAGTGTGCGATTTACTCCATGTTTATATACAGTAGTTTGCCCTGCCAGTGTTGGTGGGGGTGTGGTTTCCTCCTTGGTAATTCTTGATTAGAGTATTGTTTTCTGCTTGTTTGTCTGGTGTTAATCCCTGCTTATTTGGATGTTGGCTGCTGGAGAGGATGTGTTCTGGTCTTTTTGTTTCCTTCTTAACTTTATTATTGTCTCTTTTGAACGGTGTGTATGGTTTATTTCTGTTTGTTGATGGCTGATTTATCTGAATGCCAAGCTTCCAGGAATTCCCTAGCGTTTTTGAATTTAGCTTGATCTAGGATGCTCACAGTTTCCCAGTTGAAACTGTGACTGAGTCTGTCCATGTGCTGTGAGATTAAGGAGTTTTCATCGTGTCTTCTCACTGCTAGTTGGTGTTCATGGATGTGCTCTGATAGTCTTCTGCCTGTCTGTCCTACATAGTGGCTGTTACAGTCCTTAACATTGTATCTTGTAGATGACTGTTTTTTCTTCTTGGGCTACTGGG